AGCCTGCTTACCACAGGAGGGAGGAAAAGAGACCCCCACATCCCTTCTGCTCTTGTTGCCTTTGCTGTCCCCTGTGGCCTCCAGCTATTGCCCACGTGCTGTGCTACTCTGCCCTGCAGCCAGCTGATTAAGGACTGAAACCTTCACAAACTGTTGAGCTAAATAAACCTTTCCTTCCTTAATTTTCAGTTTCCAGTAATTCTGTCTTAGCAATGAGAGAAAAGTATGGCATTTGTAAACCTCTTGAGTGTCAGCGGCCGTTGGGAGTGCGAGTCGGCGGTGGGCCGGCCGCGCGGGCTGGGGACAGGGCTGGGGACGGAGCAGCGCTCGCTCGCTCGCTGGCCACCGCGCTGGCGGACGGATTCGCGCAGTCCAGAGCGCCGCGGCTGAGCCGCCGGGAGCTGAGGACCTTTCAGACGCGGCGGCGGGGCTGAGCACACGCGGACACCGAGAGCCGGGACAGCACGGACCACGGCGCTGAAGGGATAAATTAGAAACTTAGTGATTTGGCCAGGGACCCTCCAGCACAACGCTCTGCAGGCCCAGTTGGGGACCATACGTTCCATTGACAAGCCACAATTATGGGACCTAATGACAGCCCATACCTAGGCGGGTGTATTCTTTTTGACAATTCATTTTCCTACAGACTACGCATTCAAACCACCTAAGATTGCATTTACAAGAATTTATCATCCAAATATGAACAGTAATGGCAGGATTTGTCTCAATATTCTAAGAACACAGTGGTCTCCTGCTTTAACTATTTCTAAAGTTCTTTTATCTATTTGTTCACTGCTGTGTGATCCAAACCCAGATGACCCCCTAGTACCAGAGATTGCATGGATCTATAAAACAGACAGAGACAAGTACAACCGAATATCTCAAGAATGGACTCAGAAGTATGCCATGTGATGCTACCTTAAAATCAGAATATCCTGCATCATAGCTGGGATAAATATTTATTTAATTTTTTTCCAAAACTGGGGATTGAACTCAGGCCCTTGCACAGGCAGGTGCTTATTCTACTGAGTCATCTCCCCGGCCCCCAAGAAATTTTTGCAGATGTACTTTGGAAATTTTGTTTTTTTCTGTTTTGTTTTGTTTTGGCGGAACCAGGGATTGAACTCAAGCCCCTGGGCTTACCAGGCAAGCACTTATTCCACTGAGCCATCTCCCCACCCCTAAACTTTAAATTACTGTTCCTTTTTTGATTTTCTTATCTGGCTGCTTCCCTATCCGAACTTATCTTTTTTAAATTTTATTTTTTGTTTACCTCCCTCCATTCATTCACATGGTCATCTGAGAAGACTTAAGTTCTTCCAGCTTTAGACAATAACTGCTTTTAGAAACTGTAAAGTAGTTACAAGAGAACAGTTGCCCAAGATTCAGAATTTTTTTTAAAAAAATGGAACATGTGTATTATGTGGCCAATGTCTTCACTCTAACTTGGTTATGAGGCTAAACTATTCCTCACAGCTCTACCTGCTGAATAAGCCATCTGATGGGGGGAGATGGATGCTCCGTTATCTCGGCAAGGAAGCAGCACTATTCTAGCAGCTGTTAGAATATTCTTGTTAAGCCTTCCACTGTCAGAGATTTGAGGTTATGTGATATACTTTATGCTCATAACTGATGTGGTTGGAGAACTGATATTGAATTTATAGCATCAGCAGAACAGAAAATGTGATGTATTTTATGCAATAAATAAAGGAATGACCTGTTCTTGTTCTACAAAAACAAAAACAAAAAGAAAAACAAAAACCTCTTGGTAAAGGATATTTGGGTCATCAACCGTGGGTACACTAAAATTAAGAAACCATTAGTGTAGACCAGGAGAAATAACGGTAATAGTTTGGGTAGAGTGATGGAGGGGATAAGAAGGAGGATTTCAGAAACCTAACTGTGGCGGGCTAGGTAGGTGAGAGAGGGCGCGAGAAGGCGTTAAAGGCTCATGTAGCTGATGGATAGCAGCTCATTTCCAGAGATTTCTAGGGAGACTGTTATCTCGACAATGTGTGAGATGCCACTGCCACTTACATCCTCTTGCGTTCTTCTTCATAGCTGCCAAATAGATCCCATGCTCGGGTAATGTTCTCCTACTTTTGGATATAACTCACATTTTCCTTAATTATGATCAGATTCTGATTCTTTTATTGTGTTTTCTCTCAGATCACTGTGGTTGAATTTAAGTACTGTTTATTTTTTTGAGACAGGGTCTCATTATATCTTTAACACTGACCTCGACCTATGTACCTATGGCTGCCTCAAACCTGTAGTGATCCTCCTGCTTCAGTCTACCAAGTGTTGGGATTGTAGGTGTGCAGCAGTAATGAAGTTAAATACTACTGAAGGATACCAAACATTTGGGGATAATCATTTGGAATATGTTTTTTTTTTTTTTTTTAAATGGATGATCTTTGCTATTCTAACCTGCCTCCTAGTGGGAAAACTACTAGAAAAGTGAATCCATCTTACTGAATATGACTAAGTAAATCTAAATAATGAATTGAATATTGCTTAAAAAATAAAAAACAACTGAATATCCTATTGTTGAAACTTTATAAACTTAGAAAAACTTAAAATAATGACAGTTGATTACATAAAATGACTAACTCCTGTAGACATAACCATTGAACCAATAAAAAAAAAACCTATTTGGAAGCTATATGACAAATAAAAGGTGCATAACTTGATTATAAGCCAGGTGTGGTGGCCCATGCCTGTAATCCCAGCATTTGGGAGGCTGAGGCAGGAGATTGTTGAGTGCTCCAGATTAGCCTGTACTACAAAGTGAGCTCAAGGTCAGCCTGAACTGCATAGTGAGACTGTCTGAAAAAGACAAAAAACCAAAACCTACTGCTCTCCAAAAAAAGAGCACAACCAAAAAAACTTGAGTGTGTAAGCGTAAAAGCCATTAATAGGAACTCAGTGGTTACGTGACCTAAGCTATATGCGAAGCTGGTTCACAAATGGGGAAATAAAATAATAAAATGAACATGGAAAAATGTCCAGGCACCTAGTTGTCAGAAAAATGTAGACAATTAGATGTCCCTTTTGTCCGTTACATTGCAAGTTACAAACGTATATGGTATGCAGAAGAATGCATATTTAACAACAAAATATCTTTTGTTTTAAATTGAAATATACATATATTATTTTGGAAAGTAATGTAGAACATCATGGGAAGAGGATGTGTTGGGCCTCGGGGGTTGGGCTGACTCTGTGACTGGCACATCTTGTGCTACACCTGTTCCTTGTACTGATGTTCATCAACATGGAAATAGTTGATGAAATTATCATCCAGACTGAGGGATGTACATGCACAGGTGGAAAAACGGGGTGTCCAGCTACATAGATCTTTGTGTCCAGCTAAATAACATATTTTTTTATTAAAATAGGAAGGCAATATAACAACAGAAGAAAATGTTTGTAAGTAAAAAAGAGCAGGTTATAAAACTGTATGACCATTCCAAGTCTATAAAGAAGACCTCATATATGCGGGGTGTAATGGTGCGTGCCTGGAGTCCCAGCACTTAAGGCTGAAGCAGGAAGCTCAGCACAAGTCCGCGGTCAGCCTGGACTTTTCAGTGAGCTCAAAGACAGCCCAAACCACACAGTGAGACACTGTCTCAAAAAACAAAGGAAATACGGACAACCCCCGCCAAAACTACTTCACATATAAACCAGAATAAAATGAACAAATTATACATGACAGAGCCACCAAAATCACAATAACAGTGCATGAACAGTGTAAGTTACAAGTGACTGTTTTCCCCTTTTCGGTTTTTAGAGCAGTCTGAAATGTGGAGTGCTTATTTTGTTGCTGGTCTGAATTTCAGAGGTCATGCAAAATGACTTGTTGGTTATATAATCAGAAATCAAAGCCCAGCACAGGAGATACCTGGGAGGTAGAGCCAAAGACCTGCAAGACCCTAAGTTTAAAGCTAAGCAAACAACAAAACAAAATCAAACAAACAGACTTTAAAAAAATATTATATTTTTTAAGAAAAGGGTTTCACTAGATCGGACTCGTAGTGATCTGCCAGTTTACAGCCTCCCAGGAGCTGGGATTACAGGTGTCTCAGTGGAGCTTCAGGGGCGGGGCCGGCACCCGCACAAGGCAGGCCTGGGAATCAAACCCCTGGCCAGTCGCTTTAATCTGCTGAGCTATTTGGCCGACCCTAAAAAGGAACTTTTTAAAAGGAAAATTTGGTTTAACAGGTTAAAAGGGAGGTTAAACTGAGAAGTTTAAGAATTGTAGTTTTTAGAGCCAGTTCTGCATGAAATTGCAACTCATGTCTCAATTCTTCTATGGCCTTAATGAAAGATTGACTTTGCCCTGTTAGGAGGCTTTAAGGATGGGGTGCCTTCCACACGTGTAGTCCTCCCACCGGGAGGCTTGGAGCTTGAGGCGGGTGGGTCTAAACCCAGACTGGCCAATTTAGCTTTCAAAATAAAATAAATTTTTTGAAGGGCTTGGGATGTAGATCAGTGTGAAGACCCTGGGTTCAACCCCCATTACAGAAAAGTAAAAACCTGGGGTCTTGCGGATTAGCTCAGTTGTTTAAGCGCCTGCTTGGTTAAACCCAGTCAGGCGCAGGGGAAAGCTGGAAAGCCTTAGAACACGGGGCTCGGCTCTCTCTGCACTCCTAACCCGCTGCGTCGGAGCGAGGCTCGGGCTCCCTTTACGCCAGGGTTAGGAAGGCAGGCAGGCTCCCCGCCGTCCCTGCCCCCCGCCCCGCCCCCCCGGAGCTCTGGCGGCCCGGCCCGCGCCCCGCC